AAACCTAATGATATGCCAGCAAAAGGGAAAACTGTTGTGTCTTTAAAAAACAATATCAACATACATTTGCTATTGTTTTGGGGATATATTTGTTGAACCGTGTGAAGACATAAAACAAAAGTGATTTTTTTTTAACCTCCTACTGTTGTATAATTCTTTATTTCTCAGGCTTGTAAAGTAATAAAACCACCTGGAAAAAGCAAAACCAATTTTATTTATATGAATTGTTGATCACAAACTCGATAAATACTGCTATCAACATACATTTGCTATTGTTTTGGGGATATATTTGTTGAACCGTGTGAAGACATAAAACAAAAGTGATTTTTTTTTAACCTCCTACTGTTGTATAATTCTTTATTTCTCAGGCTTGTAAAGTAATAAAACCACCTGGAAAAAGCAAAACCAATTTTATTTATATGAATTGTTGATCACAAACTCGATAAATACTGCATTCAGTAGAAAACTAAATCTGTGTATGCGCCATATATTTAATTATTTGATTTTTAATCTGATGTTTGGCACATGATGATTTGTCACATAAATAGCAATGTCTAAAACTTCAGTTTGTCTGCCTGTCTGTCTGTCCACTCTTCAGTTTATCATTATTTTAGATGATTGGTTTACCATAACTGTTTATCCCATTTTAAATTTTCAAAAATTTTAATATAAGGAGACAGGAAATGTTTAATTAACTTAAAGAAATATATTTTATGTTGAATTACAGAAATGTGATGTTAAAACTGCTTTATTAAAGGTTTAAACTATTTTAATGCAGGTCCGAAGGGCACAATGAAAGACCAACCCCTGGTTTTCCACAATAAAATTAAATCATCAGGTTATACAAGTGCACCACAGTGAGTAAAATATACTGATACAGGTATTTCTATAGGTATTTAATATTGCTGTATGGTGCTTGTCTTTTATAGCATGTAAGAGTGATTCCATTTGGCAGCAGTAGAATTGAAGATAATATAATAATACAGCCTACCAATATATAGTCTGTTCACTCTGTGTTAGAAGTTCAAATGTCTACAGTGTGTGACATATGTACTTCTATTTAGAAATACTGTTTGTATGTTGCCATTTTATTTGTAGTCCCCCCAAACTGTCGGTGATTCAATTTGGAGGTCATATTGTAACATGAACCAAAATTCTTTTGGGGATTAAAATATGCCAGCTAGTATATTACTTGGCTCCTATAGAGAAAAAGGTGAAGCTATTGTGGGTAGGCACCCAAGTAGATAGCCTTCAGTTGCAGGTGATAACTTACTGAAATATAAACAAGACAGTTTTGAAGGTTTTGGCAACTAAGGAAAATAGATGCTACAAGGAAGGCCCTGATAACACCTTTCAACCAGCTCCTTTGTACTCAACAGCGAGTCTCCTAAGAATAAACTTGATGATACTACATGAGACAGTGACTCTCTCCTTTCCTATGGGATTTTACATTATGGTACAGTAGCAGCAAAGGAATCATTAGTTAGTTTTGGATCCTGTTGGAGATAGCTGCAGATGAGCTTGAGCTGATCTGCTCAGTCAGGTACTAGTGTGGACAGTTTTAATGCGTCTTCTATACTGTAAGCACCATGGAAACTTGTGGGAGAGATTTATATTCTTTGGATAACAGGGCAGAAGCAGTTACTGCCTAATTCTTCCTCCATCACTGTATTTTACCTACCTTTCAGCTGTGCAGAGTAGTGAAAAAGAATGCTTCCCTGCCTCGTGGCCTCAGAATAAATGGCTTCTAGCTTTGCTCCAGCTGTGAAGATTTTTGGACTTCCAGCAAGCAGGAAGAAGATCCTTAGCTCTTGTCCCATTTTCCAGGGGCAAGGGAGAGCTAGTAGTGGATCCAGGAATGGGGCAAAGGGGGTGCAGCTCCTCACTTTGGTTGTGCCGCACGTGCATAAGTTCTGAATTCCCTGCCTGGTCAGCACAGGTTCCTGCTGGAGCTCCCTGTTGGTAGTGTGCTCTGAGCTCACCAGTTGATTGGGGCACCATCTGCCCAGAACGTGGAGCATCTGCTTGGAGCTTTTGCATAGCTCTGGGGCAGGGATGGGCAAAATGCAGCCCATGGACCAGATGCGGCTTACCAAACCATTCTATCCGGCCTGCGTGGCCCCTAAAAAATTTAGAAAATTAACATTTATCTGCCCCTGGCTGCTTGTCATGCAGCCCTCGATGGCTTGCCAAAACTCAGTAAGTGGCCCTCTACCCAAAATAATTATCTGCCCCTGCTCTGGGGGCTATGGGGTGGCTGTTGCTATTGTTCGCCTTCCTCTTCCCTCCTTGGTGAATTTAGCAATCAGAGAAAGGATGGGGATGAGTGGTAGCAGCAGCACTCATTATCTGAGCTCCAGAGCTGAGCAAAATTAGCAGCTCTGGGCTGACCTGGTGCTGAGAGCTTATGGGCAATACAGCCAAAGGGGGATGTGATTGCGCCACTGCACTCCCTCTGGATGTGCTCCCGGAGAGTCCAGTGTCTTGAAATTCCTTTTGTTGCCTTTCCTCACCAAGGTCCTTTGAAGCCTGGAGAAGAGTAAAGTAGTTCAGGTTAATATGTGTATGTGGGGATTTCATGGAATGACTGGGGGTATTGCAGAAATGGGAGGAAATGATTGATTGGAAGTATGAGTAAGCAAAAAGAGAGTAAGGGGAAGGAGGGAAAAGCTGAAAGAAGACACAAGGGACTAAGGGAGAGGTCAAATGTAACCAGGAAGATAGAGGGAACTATTGTACATTATTAAATAAACGTAAAAGAGAAAAACCCAGGAAAATATATGTTGACGGAAAGAAAATATGGTAAAGAATAGAAAGAAGCACACATTATCTTCCTGATGTATAGTCATCCTGTGCTCTAGAACACCCAAATCTTTTTTCCTCTTTTGTTGCTGACAACTTATAAATTCTTGTCTTATAGCAGAAATACTTATTAGTCTCTAACTGTATGACCTTGCAATTTATAGTGTTCAATTTAATTCCACTTACTCAATTCTTTAAGATCATCTAATTTTTTTGTATGATATTCTGATCTTCATCTGTATTGTCAGTACCTCCTAATGTCTTCTTTAAATTTCATTAGTACCCTTCTACTTTTCTTTTTCCCCCAAAATCATTAATGAAAATATGATCAGTCCCAAGACTAAGCCTCATGGAATTCTACTAATAAGCTCCTTTTGCCCTGATAGCTTAAGCACAACCCATTATCATCTTCCCTCAAGGTGATTTGATTTAAATCAAATCAATTTAAATAATGATTTGAATCACATTTTAAATCACTGGTTAGGAAGCCTCAATTTAATAATGTTTTTTCTACAAAAAGTGCATTCTTGTTGTTTGATGTAACCTTAATACATATTATTCACAACTCAGAGATAGATGTAGGTTTCATTTTTAGAAGGTACACACTATACATTTTAAAGCAGTGATTAATTTTGATATATTTTCAGATTAATTTTGCAGCTACATTAGAAAACTATATTATGATTTGGTTATTTTATTTACCAAAGCTAATTGAAGCAGATACTTGTGAAGTTATTAGGAGGTGAACTATCTCCAAGTCACTAGATTAATCATGGTTATTTGGGAGATACTTTTGCCATCTTGTATTACAAGAACAACAAGAGCCATCATGAAAAACAACAGACATTTTAAATTATTTTATTTAACTAAAACACAAGTCTGTTTATTTTGGATATTTTTCTCCAACAACAAACATGTATAATTATTTTAACAAAACAAGCATATGTATTTTAAAAATTTTAACAATTTTAGTTATAAATGTGAAATGTGTTTTTAACAAAATTAAATAGATTATTTCAGTCAGATCAACACAAGAAACTAAAAATACTGGGTTATGCAGCAAACTCAGTCCTCAGTCTTTACATTCCTCTTCCTGTTTATTCATAGGCTGGAAAAGAAAGACAAGCTGTCCTGCTTTTTCAGTTCCCAATCAATTTCTCAATTTAGAATGAATTAGTCCAAAGGAAGAAAATATTCTTCCTGTACCTGAAGAAGCTACTGCTATTAAAAGATGGATTATCACTTCAATAATCTCTGATAGATCCAGGTGCTTAAGTGACTTCCATCAGTTCACTGGTGTGACTTTCTGTAAAACCTCATCAGCAAACATATATTTCTTGAATGGTTCACCCTTAGCCCTGAAATTTATTATAGTTGGCATTATGGAGGGATGATTACTGGATGCCCATGTCAGAGCCAACTCCTTTTCTTAAGCAGTTAAGGATTTACCCTGATACAGAGTACTGAGAAAACTGGCAAGAAAATGAGTTGGAGATAGTGCTTGATCCATTAATTTTTTAAATGCCTGTAATTAAACTCTCTCATTATGTATTTTTCTTTTCAAGGTCTCACTCAGTTCCTTTCAAATTTCAACAGCATCAGCAATAAAACAGCAATTTTCCTGCGCTTTGTTCAAGGCTACAGAAATAAGATTCAGGATAGTCAGCATACATTCTTCAATTCTCTTTAGACCAATGTTAAGAACCTTGACTCTGACAGTTCCATCTGTTTTGTCATGATCTTGTTCACAAATTGTCATCAGATTAGGCCAGTTCTCACTATATTACTCAAAACAGTCCGCTACTGAGTTCCATTGCATGTCTCGTGGGAGAGTTGGTTTGGTTCCTCCTGCTTTCTTCAGAGCAGCTGCTACGAAGTGGTTGTTATGGAAATGTTTTGCAATTTCAACAACATTAGCCTTTATTTCTGGATCAGTGAAGTTTTTGGCTAAGAGGCGCATCAAATGAGTGCAGCAGCCATGTTATTAGCTTGGGGCTTTCTTTACTTTCTTTTAGATTTCTTCTCATCTTTGACACATTTGCAGCATTGTCTGTGACAAAGCTGCGTACTAGATGTTTGCATTTTTTTTCACAGATTGTTATAGTTTTTACTGCTACTTCTTGTGAGTATTCTGCTGTGTGTGCATGTCCTGATGTATCAATTGTTTCTGTAAGGCAGACAGTCCTCTCTTCTGTTGTCATACAAACACAGATTACTGGATCATTGTGGACATTGCTCCATCCATCAAGACTCAGGTTAACAATTTTCCCCTCTAGACTTTTTGCACACTGTTCAATTTCTTTCTCATACACTTTATCCAGCAATGCTGTCTCAAATAGTATATAATTAGAAGTTATAATCCCCATTCCATGATGATGTCTTTGAGCTTTAACCTGTCTTAAATAAAAACTATCTTTATATAGGTTTCTTTTTTAAAAAAAAGCATCTTAAAATACAATTAAATAAAAATATCTGATTTTTTTTGATTAACAAAATCATTGATTTTTATTTACCCTGTTTCCCTTTTAATCCGTTCCTTGCTTCTTTATAATTCACATACCGAGTCCCATCTTTTCCATTTTAACTAGTTTCCTATGTGGCACTATTTGAAATGCTTTACTGAAATCCAGATTAAATTTCCCTCGTTTTTTATTAATGCATGTCACACCATCGCCATCAGCGACCAACCTTGAGAGTACCCCAAAGCTAGCTCTCTTCCCCTCAACTTTCCTGCCATAACTTGGTGTTAATAGTATTCTTAAAGAGGGGTTCAGTGGTGTCAGTACGGGGGTGCCCACCAGGATACTTATGGTGTAGATGTGGTTTGACGTTGGGGCTCCTTCTTCCCAACACCCCGGCCACATGCCATCATCGGTGTTGATGCGTTGAAGCTACTTGTGGCACCTCTAGCCTTGTCCGGTCCTCCAGTGGCTGCCGGCTGTTGTCCTGGTGTCTCACTCTCAGCGGTTTACTGCCCCCATCTATGAGGTCACTTCAGCTCTGCTTGGCCATTCTGCCTCCTCTTGGCACTCTGAGAGCCAGGATCCGGACTGATCCTTACTTGGGGTCAAGGTTCCCTGACCTTGTGGCCTTACCAAGTTCAATCAAAAGAAATAATACTAAGTGTGGCAGAGCACAGGGTGTGTCTGCCACTTTAAGGGCCTGGAGCTGGCAGCCTCCAGGTGCCTGATGAGGGCAGCCATTTTG